AGCTGTTGAACGTGACTGAGTAAGCAGATTGTATTGTAACAGGAGGAGGCAACACGCGAGGAGGCACCTTTTCAATTCTTTTCTTGTTTTTAATAATAGCTTTGAGACAATTCACACACCGCACAGTCCACCCATTCAAAATGTACAATTCAGTATTTTTTAGAATATTCAGAATTGTGCTGTCATCTCCACAATCAATTTTAGAACATTTGTGTCACCCCCAAAAGTAACCCTGAGCCCGTAAGCAGTAACTCATTTGCTCCCCAACTCTTACCCCGTCCATTAGCAGACATTTCTCATATTTCCCAAACACTTCCACCCCACCAGCCCTAGGCAACCTTTCTATCTTTCACTTAATCTATCTCTATGGGTTTGCCTATTCTGGACATTTCATATAAATGGAGTCTTAAAATATATAGCCTTTTGTGTCTGCCTTCTTTCATTTAGCATATATGATGTTTTCAACATCCATCCATGTTGTAGCATGTATTAGTACTTTCTTCCTTTTTTGGCTGAAAAATATTTCATTCTGAGGCTGTACCACATTTTATTTAATCATTCATCAGATGGACATTTGGGTTGTTTCCACTTTTTGGCTGCTGTGAGTAATGCTGTCCTGGACATCTATGTACAGGTTTTTGTGTGGACATGTGTTTTTATTTCTCTTGGGTATATATACCTAGGAGTGGAATTGCTGCATCATAACTCTATGTTGAACCATTTGAGGAACTGCCAAACTGTTTTCCAGTATGACTGTACCATTTTACATTCACATCAGCAGTATTTGAGGATTCCGATTTATTTTCATTCTCACCAGCACTTGCTATTGTCTGCCTTTTTGATGGTAGCCATCCTAGAGGGTATGAAGTGGGATCTCATTGTGGTTTACAGCTGCATGTCCATAATGACGATGTTGAACATATTCTCATGTGCCTGTGACCATTTGTATATCTTACTTGGAGAAATGTCTGTTCATATCCTTTGCCAATTTTTAATTGGGTTATTTGTCTTTTTTATTATTGAGTTGTAAAGCTTCTTTATATATTCTAGATGTAAGTCCCTTATCAAATATATAAACTACAAATATTTTCTCTCATTCTAGAGTTGTTTCTTCACTTTCTTCATGGCCTCTTTTGAAGGACAAATATTTTAATTTTGACCAAGTCTAATTTATCTATTCTTTTGTTACTTGTGCTTTTAGTGTCATATCTTAGAAACCATTGCCTGATCGATCCAAGGTCATGAAGATTTATACCTATGTTTTTCTCTAAGATCAATTTTTTAAAAATTTGTATTAATAAGGAGGGGTCAGGGAGATAATTTTTAAATTCCAAATTTAATTGGGGATGTTGACAGAAATTGAGGTAGATATATCCAATAAGCATTTGGAAATTTGGTACCAGAAATTTAGAGAGAAAATGGGGTTGAAGTTAGAGATTTGGTTGCCTCTTATATAAAGGTGATGGTTGAAGCTATTAAAGTAGTGGATGAAATTACCAAAGGAGAAACTTGTAGAAGAGGTTGGGGGAGGCCACTGAGAGAAATTTGGTGAAACACACATTTGACAGTGGAACGAGAACAAATGGTTAGTGAAAAAGACCAAGTAGTCAGTGAGTTAGGGAGACCACAGTGGAACAGTGCTACAAAAGCCAAGGCAGAGAGAATTTTAATATTGACTCCTGGGTGTTTAAACACTGCAATGAGGAAAATAAGACTGAGATAAAGCTGCTGGAATTTATGGGATGCCATTGGTAACATTCAGAAACGTGCTTTCAGGATAATCACTGGAGGACAAAACCCGATTATGGTAAATTAAAGAATGAGTGGGAAGTAATGAAGGCAGAAACAAGATTGTGAGGACATATCAAGGGTAGAATATTTTAAAAGTGTGTGATTCTGAAATATAAACATTGTTAATACAAATCTTTGTGCTTTTAAATATCAGAAATTGCATGTGTAGCTGAAAACAGGTGCATAGGTAGCCAAATTAAAGGAAAAGGGGTTATTTTAGTTACCAAATCTGTACCTCTTTTTTTATATGAATAGAGAAATTATTTTTAAACCACTTTTGAGGTATGATTGACATACAGAAAGCTGTACATATTTATTGTGTACAACTGGATGAGTTTGGAGATAAGTATACACGGATGAAACTATCACCACAGTCTATATCCTAAACATATTCATTACCTCCAAAGGTGTCCCGCCCTCTTAATTTATTTTTAATAATTAATTTTTTTGTGGTAAGAACACTTACGTTAAGATCTCCCCTTTTAGCAAATTTTTAAGTGTACAGTACAGTATCATTAACTACAGGAACTATGCTGTACAGTAGTTCTCTAGGACTTACTCATCTTATGTAACTGAAACTTTGTATCCTTTGACTAATGCCTCCTCATTTCCTCCTTAGATCAGCCCCTAGCACCCACCATTCTGTTCTGCTTCTAAGAGTCTAACTATTTTAGATTCCACGTATAAGTGATACCATGCAGTATTTGTCCTTCTGTGTTTGGCATATTTCACTTAGGGTAGTGTCCTCCAGGTTCATTCACATTGTTGCAAGTGGTGGGATTTCTTTCTTTTTTAAGGCAGAATAGAATTCCGTTTGTATGTATATATCGCATCTCGTTTATCCATTCATCCTACGTTGAATATTTAAGTTGCTTTTGCCTCTTGGCTATTGTGAGTAATGCTGCAAGGAACCTGGGAATGCACATGTCTCTTTAAGATCCTGATTTCAGTTCCTCTGGATATATACACAGAACTGGGATTGCTGGATCATATAGTATTTCTATTTTTAATTTCTTGAGGAACCGCCATAGTTTTTTATAGTGGCTTCACCAATTGAGAGTCCCGCCAACAGTGCAGAAGGGTTCCCTTTTCTCCACATCATCGTCAACACTTGATATCACTTATCTTTTTGTTAATAGCCGTTCTGACAGGAATGAGGTAATATCTCATTGTGGTTTTTACTTACATTTCCCTGATGATTAGTGATGTTGAGCACCTTTTCATATACCTGTTGGCCATTTTTATATCTTCTTTGGAGAAATGTCTGTTCAGTCCCTTTGCCCATTTTTTAATCAGATTTGGTTTTTTTGCTATTAAATTGTAGGAGTTCCTTGAATATTAACCTCTTATCAGATGTATGGTTTGCAAGTATTTTCTCATATTCTGTAGGTTGCCTTTTCACTTAGTTGTTAACTGTGCTGAAGCTTTTAGTTTGATGTAATCCTACTTGTCTGTTTTTACTTTTGTTGCCTGTGCTTTTGGTATCATGTCTAAGAAATGCTTGCTGAGGCCAATGTCTAGAAGCATTTTTTCCCATGTTTTCTTCCAGGAGTTTTATTGTTTCAGGTCTTACATTTAAGCCTTTAGTCTGTTTTGAATTGATTTTTCTGTATGGTGTAAGATAGGGGTCCAGTTTCATTCTTTTGTATGTGGTAATTTTCCCAACACTGTTTATTTAAGGGGCTATCCTTTTCCCATTGTGTATTTTTGGCTTCCTTGGCACCTCAGTTGACTGTATGTAAGTGGATTTATTTCTAGGCTTTCTGTTGTGTTCCATTGACCTGTATGTCTGTTATTTGTGCCATACTATTTTGATTACTGAAGCTCTGTAATATATTTTGAAACCAGGAAGTGTGATGCCTCCAGCATTGTTCTTCTTGCTTAAAACTGCTTTGTCTATTTGGAGTTTTTTGTGGTACCATATGAATTTTAGGATTCTTTTTCCTGTTTCTGTGAAAAATGCCATCGGATTTTAATAGGGGTTGCCTTGAATCTGTAGATCACTTTAGGTAGGATGGACTTCTTAATGGTGAGGATTTGGCAGTTACTATCTGACCTTTTATTATCAAACTTAAAATGTCATTTCAGGTTTAATGCATTTTTCCTGGTGATTTCTCTCTGATAATGACTGTTTTTTTATGACGTGGTCCTTTCCCACTGAATATTAAAATGGCTATATCAGGGAGTGGGGAAAAGTTTCATAGTAAAAACTGGTGCTCTCAGGTGGTAAGGGAAGGGCAGCAGCTCATACCATATGGAGAAAAACAGTGAGGTAGATTTTATTCCTTAAGCATTCAGAATTTATCCTAGTTATTATGGCCGCCATATAACCACCAACTCTGTAAGCTTTATTTGTAATTGAAGCAAAATCAGAGTTAGCAAAGACAAGTAAGCAGGAAGAGATAAGGCAAGTTGCTTCCGCCATAGATGCAGGTTGTTTGTTATAGAAGGCTTCATCTACTCCACAGGACACCATTAGTTTCAAATAAAGGCGGAGGAATTTTGCAGCAAGGAATTCATTCCTTGAATGATAAAGTCACAAATAAGGGATGGCTACTAGTGGTGCGTTTTGAGCATTTATTAAGCTACAGTAGCTCACTTTCTGAGAAACCTGTGGAAGCGTTTAAATTGAGGTAATTTCTTAGCATATGTTATGAGGAAGTAGGGATGAAAATAAGCTGTAGATTTTTGATGAAAATTTCTTTGTGGAAGAACCCTGTTATTTACCTGCTAATATGTTTAAAGATACGTGAAACTCATCAGACTAGGATTATAGAATGCTATGGGGGGGAAATAATTTATCTTTAGCTAATAGTCTTTGTAATGATTTTAAGTAAGAATGGCATATGTGAAAACATTTAAAACTAACTACATGGTATTTCTATTTTGGGGGTTAAGCCCAAGTATTACTTGGGTACAGAATAAGTCTTCTGTTAATATATACACATAGTTTTTAGTTAGATAAAATGTACATAATATTTGTGAGATTTGTCAAGTATACTTACGGTATTAATAGGCCACATAATCACTTAAAAAAAAAAAAAGATGTGCAGGAAATAACTCCATTGCTGTTGAGACCATAATCTCTTTCTTTGGATAATATATCAAAACATTTAAATACTTATAAACTTTATAACCTATTAAAGGCCAAAGTAGCTAGTGATCCTGCCTGTGCTCTTTTTGAATCCTCTTTATTTAATCTTCCAAAGGCAATTGACATACATCCAAAAGAAGTGCCATAGTGAACCTGATGGACCTGGGGTAGCAGCGTTAACTAGTGAGGAGCGAACTCGATGGGCTAAGGTTATAATTTACATTTTTCTTTTCTTTTGAGGTATAATTGACTTACAACATGATATTCAACTATACAACATAAGGATTCAATATTTGTATATATTGAGAAATAATCACCACAGTAAGTCTAGTTAGCGTCCATCACCATACAGAAAACTAAAAAATACTTTTTTTTTTTTTTTTTTTTGCGGTACGCGGGCCTCTCACTGTTGTGGCTTCTCCCGTTGCGGAGCACAGGCTCCGGATGCGCAGGCTCAGTGGCCATGGCTCACGGGCCCAGCTGCTCTGCGGCATGTGGGATCTTTCCGGACTGGGGCACGAACCCGTGTCCCCTGCATCGGCAGGCGGACTGTCGACCACTGCGCCACCAGGGAAGCCCTAAAAAATACATTTTTTGTAATGAGAACTTTTAAGATATACTCTCTAGAAGCTTTCAAATATGCAATACAGTATTATTAACTCTAATTTACACTTTTGGGGTGAGGGTATGCTATTTTTATTTTATTTACATTTAAATTTCAAACACTGAGCTCAAGTATATGCTGGCCCTTTGTTCAGATTTTTGAAGTAAACATAAATGGACAGACAGCTTTAAGTTTTAAGCAGCATTAAATACATTGTACAATATTAAACTATTAGAGAAAATCTAGGGGGTGGCATAACTTTATACCTTTATGCATTTAGTAGCACAAGTATAGGGACCAGCCATGCAGTTGGAGGAAAAACCTGTTCAGGAGTCAACAGAGAGGTTCTTGAATTCACACTTTTCTTGATGAACCTTTTTGGTAACTTTTTGAGAACCTATTAAGATTTTCTGGATATTTTGTATTTAATTTGTAACATTTTATTATTATCTCCTTGCCCTTTAGGCACGAGAATATTTGATTAGTCTTAATCCAGAGAACTTGACTATGTTAGAAAAAATTCAGAGCAGTTTACTGGTATTTTGTTTAGATGACGGCAGTCCACATGTAACACCGGAAGATTATTCTCAGGTATTCAACTATCTTATTTTGTTATTTCTTTCCACAGATTTTTCTGGAGGACTCTTGTGTAAATTGAACATGAGAAGAATTTTGTTACATGCAGGCTTTTTTTTTTTAAACCACTTTATTAAGGTATAATTGACATACAAAAAGCTGTACATATTTAATGTATACAACTTACTGAGTTTGAATTATACACCCATAAAACCACTGTGAAACATAATTGTGAAGACAGTTGTTTCCTGTATCTTGGAAACACCTTTTATCTTAGAATGGGGCAGCTAAGAAAAGAAAGTGCAAATACTAAGTCATAAAATATTTAATGCAGGCTTTTAAAACATTTTCTTAGCTATACACACACACACACACACACACACACACACACACACACACAGGTATCAAATGAAGATTATACATAAATAATGCTCTGTAAATTCTTGCCACATTGTTTAACTCCATTTAGACATCTTATATATTGTTTAAAGAAGTATGTCTATTATTTGCTTATCAGATGTCAGTGGTTCCAAACCTTTTTATTGATCATATATACAGGAAATTTGCATAAGATGCTGGGCTAAATGAGATTTCATACCAAAGGTGACATGAGAACCTACCTATAACCCACACCAGTGGGCCTTGATATCTTAGTTGGTGAGGTCTGTCCTAAGAATTATATCATTCTTTTGATTTATTTTATCATTTGGTTTTATAGAACACACTGACTTTAGTGAATTTAAGGGTAATTGTGGCCTACTTTTTTTTTTCTGGGGTAATATCATTTCCTGGGAAAAAAATAAAAGGTAGTAGTCATATTTGTAGGAATCTCAGAGTCTTTTGAAAACACTGAAGTTACTTCATAATACATTCATCAATATTAAATGTTAGAAATAAAATAATATGGGATTGAAAAACCTTGTAGCTAGAAAACAATTTTTCCTCTTCCTTAGCTGCATTTGTTTTTAAGTAGAATCAACAAGCTTCTTGAGGAAGAATGTGTTTTCATGAAGTGTTGCTCAAACTTTTTTGCTGCAATCTACAGTTAGGCGTATTTAGATTGCAGCCCATTACACACACACACGCGCACACAAGCATGTGCACACTTACACATACATACATCATAGAAGTTTCACAAAACAGTAATAATTACTTTGACTATCTGTGATGTACTCTGATATTTATGTTCTATTCTTTCTTGTAAAGAATGTTTACTGTGGTTTCATGACTCACTTATGGCCCAAACTTACCATTTGAGAAACTGGCTTAGTAGGATATGAATTCTTGAAATATTTTTCTTGTAACTAGACTTTAATGACTAAACTTATCAATGCCTCTTATCCTATTCAAGTTGCAAAAGCCTTGTCCTTTCAATTGTATATTCTCAACATTCATGAATGTTGTACCATCATTCTCTTTTCTGGTAGAATTTCTTGGATTTTGAGTACTATTTAAAGTCAAGGCCAGAATTATTATCTCTTGAATATAATATTTTATTAAATTTGGTTTACCTGAAGAGGAAAAGTGAGATCATGTGTGTTTGTGTGTGTGTTTGTGTGTATTTAAGATATAAATACTTAAAAGCCAATATTAAAATCCTTTAAATTTGGAAATATTACATTTATTTTAGGTTGCTACAAAGGTTCTTGCTGGAGATCCAACAGTACGCTGGGGTGACAAATCTTATAACTTGATTTCCTTTTCTAATGGAGTATTTGGCTGTAATTGTGATGTAAGTAAACTACTGAAATTATTTTTTCCTTTTACTCTTTTAGGTTAATTTAATGGCAGTAATCTACAATACTTACGCTGTCCTGTGGTAGAATAAGTAAACACTTATTTAGCTTTATGGCATTAGAGTAAAAGGTTTAGTTATGAATTCTCAGTGAAAATAGAGTATAGGACAAATTACTTTCATCTGTAGTAAGGATAACAGTGTGGTGTGTATCTACAAAGTGGAATTTGCATGCATTTTTATGTAGTATAAGCTCTTTTAAAGTCCACTGTTACCTCTTGTTGAAAATTACAACCTATTTTAAAAGATATAGCATTAGTATATGTTCTATGCACGGAGAAATGTATGTGGATATATTTCTACATTTACCTAGTAATTTTGTGACCTTGTTAAAAAAAATGACACATGATCTTTGGAACATTATTTACTTCTGGATATTAAAATGTCTGGTACTGAATTCCATTTTTTACCTTCTTCATAAAACAAACACATGCACACACACACACACAACTTGTTTCTTTTCTGTTCTCCCATGGTTGTCTTTATTAGCTCTACTTTGCCATTTTCTGATGGACATACAGGAGGTCTATGAACCAAGAAAATTAAAAAATCAACCTAAGTCACAATTGCAATATATACCTATAACCTCATTATAATACTTTTCATAAAGTATATGATTTGGTATAAAGTAGTATGAGGTAGATTTTTTGTTTGTATCTGGGGGCTTTCCTCCGAAGTATTGATATTAGGTGACTGTAAGATACTAAAAAAAATCCTGTTAGGTTGATCTGGGTTCAGTAGTTGTAGTAATCAGTATTTATTCAGTTTTAGGTGACCGAAACCTAAGTCAAATTGGCATTAGCTTACGAAGGTGTTTATGGCATAGGGGTACAGCTAAATTTGGGTAATGCTGACTTCCAGTGTCCAGATGCTTTCATTAGAAATTTCTCTCTCCATTTTTTGGCATTACTTTCCTATGTTTGGCTTTATTTTCATGTAGACTACACCATGTGATGGTTGTACCTACAGTCTCATGTTTTCACAGCTCTCCTCGTAGACTAGTGTTCTCCGTGGAAATAGCCAGCTTTTTTTTTTTTTTTTTTTTTAACCCGAGTGGTTCCAGCAAAAGACCTGGGAATAATGCTCATTTGTTGTATTGGCCTGTGTGAATCGTGCACATTCCAGGGAGTTTGCTGCTCTGATTCGCCTGGCCTGGGTCACATACCAAACCTTGGGGCCTAGCTGGTAGAATCACTCATTCAAACCACCACAGAGATGTGTGCTGATTGCCTAAAGAAAAATAAAGTAGCTGTTATTGCCGAGGAAGGTGGTGTGGTTGATGTGCAGGTAATAGAATGTCTTCTACAGTAAATCATCAGGGTGGAAGGTTGCCATGAGTCATTTTGAAGATTTGCTGTCTGTCCTCTTCCTTACGAGTCCAGTGTTGACAAAAGATTTTGTGTTACTTGCCTCAGCTTTTTTCTCTTCAGCTCCTTGTTTGCTTCTTCTTGACCTCCTCAGTTTGGTTCATAGCCTCACTATTCCTTGGAATCTGTCCTTTGTAAAGTAGCTAACTACCTTCTGGCTTCTTCCCTCCATATCTCGTTGACTTGTCAGCTGCAATTGATTATCCTCTTCTTCATATGCATCTGACACTGCCTTCAACCTCCTAACAGTCTTTTTGGGTCTCCGGATTCTAAAACTGAGCTTAATATTATTCATAACCGTTTTCCCCTGTGTCTGCTCTTTTCTCTGGTTCAGTGGTTTCATTGACCATTTCTACATAGGTAGCTTGCAATTATATTTTTCCAGTTTTTACCTATTATTCTCATCTTGAGAGTTTTGTTTCACCATATGTTAAATTGTCCAAACTGGATGTTACATTGTTATGTAAGGGTTAGTTACTCTCATCATCAAGAACTCATCATCTTGCTTTCCTCCCTCACTCCCAACCTCCTAAAAAAACCACCTTGCACTACTTGGATTTTTACTGATGGCATCAACATCCTGCTGTTTGCTCAAATTCAGGAGAAAATAACTTTAATGATGTTTCTATCTTTGAATAAAAATACTGGTCCCATAATGAGCATATATCTTTGCACAACTGAAATACTTCTCTGTAGTAAAGTGTATGGACATGTTTCATGTGTATGCATTGTCACCCATATACTTATCAAATTGATCTGATGATCTCCACGTGACCGTATGCTTTTATTATTTATTTATTTATTTGTTTGCGGTACGCGGGCCTCTCACTGTTGTGGCCTCTCCCGTTGTGGGGCGCAGGCTCAGCGGCCATGGCTCACGGGCCCAGCCGCTCCACAGCATGTGGGGTCTTCCCGGACCGGGGCACGAACCCGTGTCCCCTGCATCGGCAGGCGGACTGTCAACCACTGCGCCACCAGGGAAGCCCGACAGTATGCTTTTAAAATTCCATGTAGGTTCCCCTTGCAACCTACGATGATTACTGAAAATGCTATTTAACCAATGTAAAACATTATTAGTAAAGTATATATACTGTAAAGTTAAGTTGTTCTTAATCCAAATTCATATTGCTGCTCTCTTCCATTGGTGCTTGAATATATACTTTTGTGATTATACTACATAATAGCATTTCCCTGTTGGGATGTAAAATCCTGGGGTCAACTATTTTGTCTTCCTTATATAGGCTTTGTTGTAGGCTTTTGTAGAAGTACATAGGAAGCATGTAATGAACATTAGTTGTTAATAACAGTAGTTACTAATTTTTGCTGTGGTCCAGGATCTGTAGTAAGTACTTTATAAGCATTATTAAAATCATTTTTCACAGCTGTTGTATGCAACTAGGTATTGTTTTCCCTACTAACAGATGAGGCAGTTTACTTAAAGAATTAAGTAACTTTCTCAAGTAACTTACTTGAGAAACTTAACTTACTTATGTAGCTAGTAAGTAGTAATGTTTGGACTCAGAACCAAAGTCCACATTATTAAACAGTATATTACACATATTGCCTCCATATAAATGAAAAAAAAGATAAAACTTATGTGAACAAATAAAGCATCAGGAAAGCTTTGATTTTTTTCTATTTTTCTATTCTATTTTCTATTTTTTTTCTATTTCCTAACTTTCCTGTTCCGGAGGACAGGCTCCAGACGCGCAGGCTCAACGGCCATGGCTCACGGGCCCAGCCGCTCTGCGGCATGTGGGATCTTCCCGGACCGGGGCATGAACCCGTGTCCCCTGCATCGGCAGGCGGACTGTCAACCACTGCGCCACCAGGGAAGCCCTAACATTTTTTTAAAAAATTGATGATTAACTTTCTGCCAGGAGATGAATGGGTAAAAATAAGTCAAAGAGATTTATATCTTTCAGTCATGCTCTTTCGTACTGGTTCCAGTATAATACTGTTGTCTTCAATGAAATAATATATGCAATATCTGTGAAAGTTCTTTGTAAAGCTACAAAGTACTACACAGTTGTGAGATGCTGCTAGAAAAGGGCCTTGTCCATGACCTTTGAGTCTTGTTATACGTGCTGTTGCTGGCAGGCGGGATGAACTGCTCTTGCATCTTGTACTGACCTCCCTAGTAAGCCTTTCCTGGTGCTTTGGTGGCTGCTTACCTGCTAATGATATACCGTGTTTCTAGGCTCCGTGGGGCCGTAATACAGGGCAGCAAAGCTGTGTAATGTTAAGGCGATATTTAAGACACCTAATTACACCCTCTGAAACTGGGCCCAAGTGTGCTGGATTCATATCTTAAACCTCCCTTCTTTCTCTCCAAGGCTAGCGGTGTCACTTTCAGTTCATGAATGGTAATTGTGTGTAATGTAAACTGGTAGCCTTAACCCAGAGGGGAAAAACCGCATGTGATGTGATTGTCATCAAAGGAACATGGAGAAGATACGGCAAAAAGTTTATTCTCCAGAGTAAATGATGGGAAAATTCACTAGCCACAGTTCCTTTCTCTAAATACAGCTGTCAAAACTATGACACCCCTGTAACTCAGCGCATCTTTCCCACATTCCTTAAACATTGAGAATTATTTCTGCCACATTGAACACTCTTATAGATATATACACAAAATCATTATGCTTTTAAATACTTATCTAGTGGACTGTGTGTTTACCAAAAGAAGTTCATACCCATCCTCCATTTAGCCTTCAGATTTAGTCTGCCACCCCCATCTGCTTTTCCATAGTGCTTTTAAAATTCCAGAACATTTTAGCGTTGTATATGTACATACGTATACCTCCTTTGACTTCCAATACAAATAGCAATTATTTTCTCTAGATTATTCATGTTTACATCCCTTCCCATTACCTCAAGAGCCCTAATTAAGTGCTTCTGACTTTAAATATTTGTTCTTTCTCAGAAAATAAAATACATCAGTTACTTACTATACTGTGGAATATCCATCTCTTTATCATTACAAGGTGAGGCATTTGAGAATTCTGCATTTTATTATGTGTTAAGAGTGGAGGGAAGGTGAAAATAAAATATTGGGTCAAGTTTTGTTTTGTTTTTTTAATTAGCAGACTTTACCTTTTAGAGCAAGTTCCAGATTTACAGGAAAATTAAGCAGAGAGTACAAAGTGCTCACTTGCTCTCTTTCCTGCACCCCGTTTTATATCTTGCATTGGTATATGTTGTTACATTTGATGAACCAATATTGATACATTATTATTAACTGAATTACATTGTTTCACTATTTATGTTGTACAACTTTATGGTTTTGCCAAATGCATAATGCCGTTCATTTCCCGTTACACTATCTTTTTAACTCAACACAACCATCAGAGTGATCCTTTTAAATTGTAAGACAAATCATGTCAGTGCTCTGTTCATAACTCTTCAATGTCTTCCACTTTTATAAAGTAAAAATTGAAAGAGATACTTTATTTTTTTATTTTATTTTTTTAAAGCATCTAATATTTTTTTATTTTCTCTAATTTTTATTTATTTTTCAAAAATTTTAAACATTTTTATTGGAGTATAATTGCTTTACAATGGTGTGTTAGTTTCTGCTTTATAACAGACTGAATCAGCTATACATAAACATGTATCCCCATATCTCCTCCCTCTTGCATCTCCCTCCCACCCTTCCTATCCCACCCCTCTAGGTGGTCACAAAGCACTGAGCTGATCTCCCTGTGCTGTGCGGCTGCTTCCCATTAGCTATCTATTTTACATCTGGTAGCGTATATATGTCCATGCCACTCTCTCACTTCGTCCTTCGTCCCAGCTTACCCTTCCCCCTCTCGGTGTCCTCAGGTCCATTCTCTACATCTGTGTCTTTATTCCTGCCCTGCCCCTAGGTTCTTCAGAACCAATTTTTTTTTTTTTTTTTAGATTCCATATATATGTGTCAGCATACGGTATTTGTTTTTCTCTTTCTGACTTACTTCACTCTGTATGACAGACTCTAGGTCCATCCACCTCACTACAAATAACTCAATTTTGTTTCTTTTTATGGCTGAGTAATATTCCATTGTATATATGTGCCACATCTTCTTTATCCATTCATCTGATGGTGGACACTTAGGTTGTTTCCATCTCCGGGCTATTGTAAATAGAGCTGCAATGAACATTGTGGTACATGACTCTTTTTGAATTATCTTTTTCTCAGGGTATATGCCCAGTAGTGGGATTTCTGGGTCATATGGTAGTTCTATTTTTAGTGTTTTAAGGATGGGTCAAGTTTTAACTTACAAAACGTATTCACAGTCTTGTGTATTTTCATTTTAGCATGCTCCTTATGATGCAATGGTTATCGTAAGCATCAGCTATTATGTTGATCAGAAAATTTTTGAGAGTGAAGGAAGATGGACGGTATGTTAGAACAAATATTTCATCCCTTTCTCATAATTCTTTTTAATACATTTATTTATTTTTGGCTGCGTTGGGTCTTCGTTGCTGCGCACGGGCTTTCTCTAGTTGCGGTGGATGGGGGCTACTCTTCGTTGCGGTGCGTGGGCTTCTAATTGCGGTGGCTTGTCTTGTTGCAGAGCACGGGCTCGAGGCACACAGGCTTCAGTAGTTGTGGCTCGCAGGTTCTAGCACACAGGCTGAGTAGTTGTGGTGCACGGGCTTAGTTGCTCCGCGGCATGTAGGATCTTCCCAGACCAGGGCTTGAACCCGTGTCCCCTGCATTGGAAGGTGGATTCTTAACCACTGCGCCACCAGGGAAGCCCTCCTCATATTTTTATAGATATAATATTTTTAAGTTTTCCCTATTTTCAGGGTTCAGATAAAGTACGGGATATACCACTTCCAGAGGAGCTTGTTTTCACTGTGGATGAAAAAGTATTAAATGACATCAACCAAGCGAAAGCTCAATATTTCAAGCAGGTAGATTTTTCACTTTTCTCTTTGATAGTGATACTTTATCTTATAACTACTATATATGAATATTTGGCTATCATCCAAGTATGACGGCATAAAACATTTAAAAATTACAACTTTGATACCTTTATGTATGTCTGATGATTATTTTAATGCAAATGATATTTTGGTTATCTTTGGGGTATTCTCCTTAGGTGTTTTTTCACTGTTTGTATTTAATTCTTTTTGTTAGGCATCTGATCTGCAGCTTTTGGTCTATGCCTTTACGTCTTTTGGCAAAAAGCTAACCAAGAAGAAGAAGCTTCACCCTGATACCTTTGTTCAGCTGGCACTTCAGCTGGCCTATTATAGACTTCATGGACGGTGAGGACCATTCATTTTCCACTTTCAGAGTCTTGAAGTCCAAGGCTACCTTTACTATAGCTATTCTGTCGTAACTCCCCAGTGTTTTGTTTTTTTTTTTTTTTGCAGTATGCGGGCCTCTCACTGTTGTGGCCTCTCCCACTGCGGAGCACAGGCTCTGGATGTGCAGGCTCAGCGGCCATGGCTCATGGGCCTAGGTGCTCCACGGTATGTGGGATCTTCCCAGACTGGGGAACGAACCCATGTCCCCTGCATCGGCAGGCGAACTCTCAACCACTGCGCCACCAGGGAAGCCCAGAATATGTATCTTTAAATGGGGTGTTTAGATCATTTACATTTAGTATAATTATCAGTAAGGTTGGGTGTAAGTCTACAGTCCTGCTGTTTCTCTTTATCCCATCTGTTTTGTGTTTCTTCTTTGTTTTTTTATCTTCTCTTGAATTCCTAGTTCTTTTTATTGTTCCTTTTATCGCCATTATCAGCTACACTGCTTTTTTTTCTATTGGTAGGGTTTTACAAAATACATCTTTTTTTTTTTTTTTTTTGCGGTATTCAGGCCTCTCACTGTTGTGGCCTCTCCTGTTGTGGAGCACAGGCTCCAGACAAGCAGGCTCAGTGGCCATGGCTCACCGGCCCAGCCGCTCCGCGGCATGTGGGATCTTCCCTGACTGGGGCACGAACCTGTGTCCCCTGCATCAGCAGGCGGACTCTCAACCACTGCGCCACCAGGGAAGCCCAAAATACATCTTTAAACTTGCAATCTACCTTCAGATATTTTCCACTTAAAGTGTAATGAAAGAACCTGAAAACAATGCTTCTATTATGCTTATCTCATTCTTTGTGCTATTGTTGTCATACATTATACTTGTACATATGTTAACAACCTAATGATGCACTACTATTTTTGCCTTCAACAGTCAATTATCTTCTTTTATTGTGGTAAAATATAAATAAAATAAAACTTGCCATTTTAACTATTTTTAAGTATATGATCCAGTGGCATTAATTACATCGACTGTGTTATGCAACCATCACCACTATCTATCTCCAAACTTTTTTTTAACCACCCCAAACAGAAACTCTGTGCTCATTAAGCAATAATTTCCTATTCTCCTATCCCAACCCCTGGAAGTCTCTAATCCACTTTCTGTCTATATGAATTTGCCTGTTCTGGATATTTCCTCTAAGTGTAATTATACATTATTTGTCCTTTTGTATCTGGCTTATTTCACTTAGGATAGTATTTTCAATGTTTGTTCTTTCATGGCTGAATAATATTCCATTGTATGAATATACCACATTTTGTTTATCTGTTCATCTGTTGACAGATGCTTGGGTTGTTTCTGCCTTTTGTTTATTGTGAATAACACTGCTGTGAGCATTCACATACATGTATTGGTTTGAATCCCTGTTTTCAGTTCTTTTGAGTCAATAACTAGGAGTGGAAGTGCTGGGCTGTGTGGTAATTCTCTGTTTAACTTTTTGTGGAACTGCCCAACTGTTTTCCACAGTGGATACCATTTTTACATTCCCACCAGCAATATACAAAGTAATGTGTAATTGTTCTACATCCTTGCCAACACTTACTTTTCTGTTTAAAAAAAAAAAGCCATCCAGAGTACTTGTGAAGTGGTATCTCGTTGTGGTTTTTATTTGCATTTCCTTAATGACTAATGAGGTTGAATATCTTCGTGTGTTTATTGGCCATTTGTATATCTTCTTTGGCAAAATGTCTATTTAAATCCTTTGTGCATTTGGTAATTCTGTTGTCATTTTGTTGTTGAATTTTAAGGGTTCTTTATGTATTGTAGATATGAAACCCTTATCAGATAGGTGTTTTGCAAATATTTTCTTTCATTCTGCAGGTTGTCTTTTCATTCTCTTGATAGTATGCTTTGATGCACAAAGTTTTAAATTTTGAAGTCCAATTTATCTGTTTATTTCATTTGTTGCCTGTGCTTTTGGTGTCATATCCAAGAAATCATTGCCAAATCCAGTATTACAAAACTTTCCCCATATGTTTTCTTCTAAGAGTTTTATAGTTTTAGCTCTTACTTTAGGTCTTTGATCCATTTTGAGTTAAGTTTTGTGTAGGGGGTATGGTAAGGATCAAAATTCATTCTTTTGCATATGGATATCCAGTTTTCTTAGCATTATTTGTGAAGAGACTGTCCTTTCCCTATTGAGTGGTCTTGACACTCTTGTCCAAAATCAATTGACCGTAGATGTGAGGGTTTGTTTCTGGATCAATGTGTTGTTCAGTGTGTCTCTTCTTGTGTTCATACGACACTGTTTTGATTATTGTAGCTTTGCAGTAAGTTTTGAAATCTGGAACTAATGAGTACTTCACCTTTGTTCTTTTTTTTTTTTAAGATTTATTTATTATTTATTTTATTTATTATTTTTGGCTGTGTCGGATCTTAGTCGCGGCATGCGGGACCTTCGTTGACGCATGCAGGATCTTTGCTTTGAGGTGCGTGGGCTCTTCATTGTGGCACGTGGGCTTCTCTCTAGTTGTGGCGTGTGGGTTTTCTCTTCTCTAGTTGTGGTGCGCAGGCCCTAGGGTGCGCAGGCTCTGTAGTTTGCAGCATGCAGGCTCTCTAGTTGAGGCGCACGAACTCAGTAGTTGTGGCACACGGGCTTAGTTGCCCCAAGGCATGTGGGATCTTAGTTCCCTGACCAGGGATTGAACCTGCATCCCATGCATTGGAAGGCGGATTCTCTACCACTGGACCACCAGGGAAGTCCCCTTCACCTTCGTTCTTGAAAAGAAGATTGTTCTGGCGACTCTGGGTTCCTTGAAATTCCATATGAATTTTAGGATGGGTTTTCCCATTTTTGTAAAAATGTTGTTGGGATTTTGATAGAGATTGCATTGCATCTGTAGATCTCTTTTAGTAGTATTGTCATCTTAACAATATTAAGTCTTCTAATCCATGAACATGGGGTCCCTTTGCATTTATTTATGTCTTTTAAAATTTCTTTCAATGTTTTGTAGTTTTTGGTGTACAGGTCTTTTTGCCTCCTTTGTTAAACTTAATCCTAAGTATTTGATTCTTTTTGATGCTGTTGTAAATTGTTTTCTTGATTTTCTTTTCAGATTATTTATTGCTAGTGTATGGAAATGCAACTGATTTTTGCATGTTGACTTTATATCCTGAAACTGCTGAATTCATTTATTAGCTCTAACAGTTTTTTGTGGACTCTAGCGTTTTATGTATAAGACCACACATCTATGAATAGAGATAGGTTGGATTTTGTCAAAGGCTTTTTCTATATCAATTGCGATGATCATATGGGTCTTTTTCTTCATTCTATTAATGTAGTATATTACATTGATTTTCATATGTTGAACCATCCTTGCATTCCTGGGATGAATCCCACTTGGTCATGGTGTGTCATCCTTTTAATCTGCTGCTGTTTGCTAGTAATTTGTTGAGGATTTTTGCATCTATATTCATAATGGATATTGGTCTATAGTGTCTTTTCTTACCGTGTCTTTTCTTGCAGTGTCTTTGCCTGGTTTTGGTATCAGGGTAATGCTGGCCTCATATTATGAGTAAGGAAATGGTCCCTCCTCGCCAGTGTTTTTGGAAGAGTTTGAGAAGGATTGGTGTTAATTCTAAGTATTAGAATTCATCAGTGAAGCCATCTGGTCCAGGACTTAACCTTTGTTGGGGTTTTTGATTGCTCATTCATGTTGTTACTTGTTATACATCTAGTCAGATTTCTATTTTTTCTTGAGTTAGATTTGGTAGTTTGTGTGTTTCTCAGAATATGTCCATTTCATCTAGGCTATCCAGTTTATTGTATACAGTTCATAATATTCTCTTACAATCCTTTTTATTTCTGTAAAGTCAGTAGTAATGCCCTCTTTCTCATAGTTGATTGTAGTAATTGGAGTCTTCTCCCTTTTTTTCCTTAGTGTAGGTAAAAGCTTGTCCATTTTGTTGATCTTTGCAAAGAACCAACTTTTGGTTTAGTTAACTTTATTTTTCATTTCTGTATTTTGTTTATCTCTACTGTAATCTTAGTTAATTTCTTTTTTTTGCTGGCTTTGGGGCTAGTTTGCTTTTCTTTTTTTTAATTCTTTAAAGTGTGCAGTTAGTTTACTGATTTGAGATCTTCTTTAATGTAAGTATTTAGAGCCATAAATTTGCCTCTGAACAGTGCTTTTGCTTCATTCCATAAATTGTGGTATGTTCTACTTTTCATTCATCACAAGGTCTAATTTACCTTCTGATTTCTCCCTGAACAATTGGTTAAGAGTTTGTTGTTTTATTTCTACATATTTGTGAATTTTTCAGTTTTTCTTGTTATTGCTTTTTAGCTTCATCCCATTGCCATTGAAGAAGATGCTTTGTATGATTCCAACCTTTATAAATTTATTGAGACTTATTTTGTCGCCTAATATATGGTCTATCCTGGAGAATGTTCCATGTGCACTTGAGAAGAATTTGTATTCTGTTGTTCCTTAGTGGCATATTCTATATATGTCTTTTAGGTGTAGTTATTTATAGTGTTGTTCAAGTCTTCTCTTTCCTTATTAGATCTTCTTTCTACGTGTTTTATCCATTATTGAAAGTTGGGGATTGAAGTCTGCAACTATTGTAGAGCTGTCTAGTTCTCTCTTCAATTCTGTCAGTGTTTGTTTCATATATCTTATAGCTCTGTTGTTTGGTGCATATATTTTTATAATTGTTATATCTTGATGAATTAAACCTTTTATCAGTAAATAATGTCCTGTTTGTCTCATTCGTCCTTTTTACTTAAAATATATTTTGTCTGATATATATACAGCCACTCCTAATGGAAAAAACAAATTGTATAGCCACTCAAACTCTCTTTTGGTTACTATCTTTTTTCATCATTTTACTTTTAACCTCTTACTGTCTTGGTTTCTAAACAGAATCTCTTGTGGACAGTATACAGATGATGTTTTTTGTTCATCTTGACAGTCTCTGCCTTTGATTGGAGAGTTACTGATAAGGAGGGAGAATTCTGCCATTTAGCTGTGTATTCTTACATGTTTTTGTTCTTCAATTCCTCCATTACTTTCTTTTTTGGTAGTAGTGATTTTGATTTTTTTTTTGGAGTGTACCATTTTGATTTCCCTGTTCTTTCTTTGTATTTTTTAAGCCATTTTCTTTATGGCTACCTTGGAAATTACATTTAACATCTTAAATTTATAACAACTTAGTTTGAATAATACCAGCTTACTTTTAATAGTATACAAACACTGTGCTTTTATCCATCTCTGTACTGCCCTCTTTAACACAGATTACATCTTTTTACATTGTGTGTCCGTTAACATAAATTTATATTACTGTTTTATGTATTTACCCTTTAAGTAAAAAAACTGTTAAACATTGTTGTTCTATCTCCCATGTTTCCAATAAACTGGTAGTTAGATTTGGCAACTTGAGACTAGTAATCGATTATTTTTATTATTTTTTATAACAGTAAGTCAAATAGTATTATTTGTTTCCTATCGCATCCTGTTCAGATGGAGGGTGAGTTCAGTTGTTACCCAACATCCATTATAAAGTTTCCTCCCTGATTTTTTTACCTAATGGTTTTAGTGGCCATTGATGATCATTACCAAGATCTATTATTTCATTACAGCTTGCAGAGTAGTGATATTTTGTCATTCATTCTTACTGCTTTTATCTTTGTTTTTTAAAGAATGCTATTTTAGTGGTGGTTTAAATTTTTATTTACACTTTAGCCTTCACATTTTGAAAGGATACTATTTCAGCTCAGGGAGACAGTCTTACAGAAACACTGAACAGAGGAGGCTCAATAACTGCAGGAATTCCCTGGTGGTCCAGTGGTTAAGACACGGTGCTTTCACTGCCGTGGACCCTGGGTTCAATCCCTGGTCAGGGAACTAAGATCCCACAAGCTGCGTGTCACGGCCAAAAAAAAAAAAAAAAAAACCAACTGTTTGAGCCCTCTTAATGCCCACGTTCAGACCTTTTACTCTTCCGTTTGATTGCTTTAACTTTAAATTCCTATCACCAGGAAAGTAAGAGAGCTTTGTACCAAAAATTGTTGTATCATTCTCCACCCCAGGGAAACAGTCATCATTCTAGGGAACTTCTTAAATAATGCTTTTACTTAATTCTAGAGTCATTCATGTTCTGTACGAGGAAACTAAAGGCCAAGGACTCTATTACCCCGTATCTTAGTAGCTTAGAACAACAAACATTTATCATCTCACATTTTCTGTCTGTCAGGAGTCCTGGCACAGCTTAGCTGGGTGCCTCTGGCTTCAGGTCTCTTGTCAGGTTGTAGTCAGGGTGTCAGCCAGGACCGTGTCTTCATCTGAAGGCACCCCTTAAAGAGGATCTGCATACAGTCTCACTCACATATTTATTAGTAAGGTTCATTTCCTCCCAAGCTGTTGTCCAGAGGCCTCTCTGTTTCTTGCCACCTGGGCCTCTCTACAGGGCAACTCCCAGCATGGCAGCAGGCTTTCCTCAGAGTAAGGAGATGAGAGAGCTCTCTTTGTAACCTGATTTCAGAAGTGACATCTCATTACTTTTGTCATATTCCTTTCATTAGAAGGAAGACACTAAATCCATCCCACACGCAGGGTGAGGGGTTATACCAGGGCATCTGCAGGAGGCAGGGATCACTGGGGGCATCTCAGAGGCCACCTGCCACAGATGCCAATGTTCACAACCTGACAGCAGCCAAGCCTTTGAAACATTTCCTGTTATACCAGGCCACAGTACATTTTGCTCTTTGATGTTGAAAACAGCCTCTTTGTTATTGAAAATCTCAGTTGTGGTCTGTATTGTAGAACTTAGTCTCTGACCAAAGCCAGCTTTATTAGGTGAACTCTCTTTGTAATATAACATTAGAGCATTTTCTTTGTCATGATACATTCTCTTATTTTCATTTTTTCTTGTAGCCCTGGTTGCTGCTATGAAACAGCTATGACAAGATACTTTTATCATGGCCGTACAGAGACTGTGCGATCATGTACGGTGGAAGCAGTCAGATGGTGCCAATCCATGCAGGATCCTTCTACCAGTGTGAGTATTTGAAAAGAAAAAATTAACAGAATTTGTCTGTTCTAAAGGAAACTTGGCTCTTAAATAACTAACTTCTTCAAATCCCTGGATGAGTAAAAAATTTTCAGACCTTTTTTTCCGGAAACTTACAAACATTTCTTCATTTGCCAGTGAAGTATATACTTGGAAAGAATAAGAAGCAGGGAAGACCTGATAAGAAGCCCATTTGTGTCATTTTCTAGGCAAAGTAACTTCAGCACCTTGAGTATTTCACTACTGTTGATCTACCTTTAGATAACACCCGTAAAATGTAGACTCTCCCAAAGCGCCTTTAATAGGAAGCTTTTCTTGATGTGGCTGAACATTTTTGAAATCAGATTTTTTGTGTGTGTATTAGAACCAGTACAGCTTTATATGTTTTGTTTTATACTTGAAGCATTTGCACAAAAGGGTAGTTGCTTCCCACTATTTTGGTATTGCATTTGTTTCTTTAGTTTTGATTGACATAGTTATGTATACGTTAACTTATTTTAATTTCATAGAGCTGCTTCATTATCATTTTTGTACAACTATGCTTTAGTTTTGAAATCGTAATTGCTTCTGTCTTTACACTTGTTGATATCACTTCTGTGCTGCCCACAAGTTTCTGTTTTCTTGTTCTGGGAAAGAAATAATCAAGTTGCAGGGCATACAGGAAAGAAAAGGCAGAGGAAGGGGGTAAGGGTAGGGGGGACGGATAGATTGGAAGTTTGGGATTGACGTATACACACTGCTATATTTAAAATAGATGACCAACAAGGACCTACTGTATAGCACAGGGGACTCTGCTCAATATTCTAGCATAACCTAAATGGGAAAAAAAATCTGAAAAAGAATGGATAAATGTATATGTATAACTATATCACTTTGCTGTACACCTGAAACTAACACATCTTAATCAACTATATTCCAATATAAAATAAAAATTAAAAAAATAAAGGCAATGGAAGAAGTGAGCAAAAAGACAGAAAAGTTATACATCTCAAGGTCTTTCTCAGAATCTTTTTTCTCTCCAAAATTACCCAAATTCTAATTACTTTTTTAAAAAATTAATGAACGAATGAATTTTTTGGCTGCATTGGATCTTCGTTGCTGCGTGTGGGCTTTCTCTAGTTGCAGCGAGTGGGGGCTACTCTTGGTTGCGGTGCGTGGGCTTCTCATTGCGGTGGCTTCTCTTGTTGCAGAGCACGGGCTCTAGGCGTGCGGGCTTCAGTAGTTGTGGCACGCAGGCTCAGTAGTTGTGGCTCGTGGGCTCTAGAGCGCAGGCTCAGTAGTTGTGGCGTACGGGCTTAGTTGCTCCACAGCATGTGGGATCTTCCCGGATCAGGGCTTGAACCCGTATCCCCTGCACTGACGGGCGGATTCTTAACCACTGTGCCCCAAGGGAAGTCCTGCCTAATTCTAATTACTTTGAGCTCAGGTTTTTTGTTTGGTTTCTGTACAGTTTGTTATTGAAGTATCTCTTGATTTTTAACTCAGCTTTTTGAGCAGCAGCACAAGATGTTAGAAGCTTTTGCAAAACATAATAAAATGATGAAAGATTGTTCAACTGGAAAAGGTACGTATACTGTTTTTTTTTTTCTGACTTAAAAAAAAATTCTCTTGCGCTGAAAACAGTTTTCTAACTTCAGGTTTGGGGTTTTATTGCAGGATTTGACCGTCATCTGTTAGGTCTCTCACTCATAGCAAAAGAGGAATGTCTCCCTGTTCCAGAACTCTTTACAGACCCACTTTTCTCCAGAAGGTAATATAACGTAGTGTTCTGTAACCTCATCAGTTTCTTTCTTCCTGAATGTTAAAAGCTTTTCAGAAACAATGTAAGCTTCTGTAAGCCTAGTAAAATATCCTTTCTTTGTGCCATACAGTGGAGGAGGTGGAAACTTTGTTCTCTCAACAAGTCTGATTGGTTATTTAAGAGTCCAGGGAGTGGTGGTTCCCATGGTACACAATGGCTATGGATTTTTCTATCATATCAGAGATGACAGGTGAGGCTGCTCTTTTTATTATTTTTTATTTTAGTATATTTTATTTGCATCTATAAATTTTTTTAGAATAGTATTTCATTTATTTTATTTTTTTTTACATCTCTATTATTCTTAACTGTGCTCACTTTTGTTGTTTTTGTCTTTCCCACGCTATGATTCTGTTGGTGTTGTCATCTGTCACTCGCTGCATGGGCAATTATTTTTTACGACTTAGGCGTTTAATGCGTATTTGTTTCTCTTTCGTGCTTTGGAGACATTTGTCAAATCAGTCCTTTAGGTGTTTTATGCAGAGCACTGTTTCAGGTTGACTCAGGGATCACGTCATCATCATTCTCCAAAATCAGTACACATATTACCATATTTGTTCTACCCAAGGTATTTGATGACAAGTTCAGATAAAATTTGATGGTCTGTAAATATGTGGTGGTTAGTGCGGTCGTAGACAATACTAATGACACCAAGACAAGAGACAAGGTCAATTAATTTGTGTTCAGAAAAGGATGTTTTACCAATTCAGATGCATTTCATTTTGGTTGTATGGGGTTTGACTTAAATTTGTGGAAAGAATGAGAAAGAAAATACTAAAACCTGATAGGGTAAAGAGAGGTGGAGAACAAGGTAATAGCGAATTGACAGAAAGGCTTGGAAAGTCCCCTTTCACAGAGTCTGGCCGTCTCTTCACAGGGATCTGTCAGAGCTTGGGAATTTAGATAATGGGGCTACATATAGCAGTGTATGAATAAGAAGAGAGAAGGCTTAGAGGGATTTCAGGTGGAATGTGAAAAATGGGAATAATAATATGTGTGACACCTTATCTTTGATAAAGGAGGCAAGGATATACAATGGAGAAAAGACAGCCTCTTCAATAAGTGGTGCTGGGAAAACTGGACAGCTACATGTAAAAGAATGAAATTAGAACACTCCCTAACACCATACACAAAAATAAACTCAAAATGGATTAAAGCCCTAAATGTAAGGCCAGACACTATCAAACTCTTAGAGGAAAACACAGGCAGAACACTCTATGACATAAATCACAGCAAGATCCTTTCTGACCCACCTCCTAGAGAAATGGAAATAAAAACAAAAATAAACAAATGGGACCTAATGAAACTTAAAAGCTTTTGCACAGCAAAGGAAACCATAAACAAGATGAGAAGACACCCCTCAGAATGGGAGAAAATATTTGCCAATGAAGCAGCTGACAAAGGATTAATCTCCAAAATTTACAAGCAGCTCATGCAGCTCAATATCAAAAAAACAACCCAATCCAAAAATGGGCAGAAGACCTAAATAGACATTTCTCCAAAGAAGATATACAGATTTCCAACAAACACATGAAAGAATGCTCAACATCATTAATCATTAGAGAAATGCAAATCAAAACTACAGTGCGATATCATCTCACACCGGTCAGAATAGCCATCATCAAGAAATCTAGAAACAATAAATGCTGGAGAGGGTGTGGAGAAAAGGAACACTCTTGCACTGCTGGTGGGAATGTGAATTGATACAGCCACTATGGAGAACAGTATGGAGGTTCCTTAAAAAACTAAAAACAGAACTACCATACAACCCAGCAATCCCACTACTGGGTATATACCTTGAGAAAACCATAATTCAAAAAGAGTCATGTACCAAAGTGTTCATTGCAGCTCTATTTACAATAGTCAGGACATGGAAGCAACCTAAGTGTCCATTGACAGATGAATGGATAAAGAGGCTGTGGTACATATATACAATGGAATATTACTCAGCCATAAAAAGAAATGAAATTGAATTATTTGTAGTGAGGTGGATGGACCTAGAGTCTGTCATACAGAGGGAAGTAAGTCAGAAAGAGAAAAACAAATACCGTATGCTAACACATATATATGGAATCTAAAAAAAAAATTGTCATGAAGAACCTAGGGGCAAGACGGGAATAAAGACACAGACCTACTAGAGGATGGACTTGAGGATACGGGGAGGGGGAAGGGTAAGCTTTGACAAAGTGAGGGAGTGGCATGGACATATATATACTACCAAACGTAAAATAGATAGCTAGTGGGAAGCAGCCGCATAGCACAGGGAGATCAGCTCAGTGCTTTGTGACCACCTAGAGGGGTGGGATAGGGAGGGTGGGAGGGAAGAGATATGGGGACATTATGTATATGTATATGTATAACGGATTCACTTTGTTATAAAGCAGAAACTAACACACCATTGTAAAGCAGTTATACTCCAATAAAGATGTAAAAAAAAAAAAAGTCGGATGTGGCCAGATGTGGCAAGGCCCCCCACAGTAACCAGAGCTCTCACCCTTGGTCCACTCTGAGGCTGCATTCAGGTTTAAATGCGATGCCAGGAGACCAGTTCCAGTCTGCTGTACATGAAGGAGCGATAAAGTTTTACTGAAGATTTTTTGGAGAAGGTGTGGAAGAAGAGTGACATTGCATACCACGTGGCAAATATCACAGCAGTTCCCTTTAAACATCTATGTTCCACCGGAATTTCCTCTCTAAATATCAGCCTCCTGGGACTTCCCTCGTGGTCCAGTGAGCAAGACTCCGAGCTGTGGTGCTCCAAGGACAAGGGTGCTTCAAGGACAAAGGACGACCCTGCCTGAAAATGTTTCAGCATCACACCCCTTACTGGACTCTTAATCACCCTCCCCACCATGTTGTGATGGTCATGAAATTCCTGAGCCCACCTGGGCGATGGGACCTGTCCCAAATAAGGAAAGGCATCTGCCCTGTCCCACTCCCACTCTATAGAAGGAAGGTATATATGCCTCGACCAATCAGTAAATGAAATTTTCACCTTGGACCATTCCTTTGTTCTCTGGCTGTAAAAACTGACTAATAGCACATGTTCGGAATAGGAAGTCAGCTCACTGTTCTGGCAGCGACCGTTCCCTCTAACAAATTCTGTCTTCTTTAAAAAAAAAAAAGTGTGACATAGTTCAGTTTCTAAGGTACTGTTTTTCTATTTTTCCTTTTTTAAAGAGTTTACATTCAGTGTTATTCTTTCAAAATTTTATCATCTGTCTCCATGTCAAGCGTGATTTGCGCATACCAGGGGTGCTTGTATTTGTTGGCATCCAAGTCTTAGATGATGTATTCCCAGAGTATTCAGTTTCTGTACATTAATCTACAAATTGAAGGTTGAATGATAAAGGTTAAACATGGGTCTTATTAGCCATTTTTATCCTTTACCAGGTCCAAAATCATCATATACAGAGAATAACTAAAGGATTCTAACATATTCTCTGACAAGTTGTGGATGTTACATTGCATGCAGTGATAAGAGTTTAAGCCAGATATGCCTCAGCTTTTTGACTTTTTGAAAAATGTATTTTTAATGATCCTGGGACAGTTTCCATTCGCTTATTCAGCAAATATTTAATGAGAACTTAAAATGTGCCAAGGATTGTTTTAGGTGCTAAGGACACAAGACAGACAAAACCCCTCTCTTAAAGATAGTATTTTCTACTTGGGAAACAGGAACAAGAGCAAACAAATAAGCAGGATAACTGCAAATAGTGAGGAAGGTTGTAGAGCAGATAATCAAATTGTTGTGGTAATAGAGACAAACTGGTAGAGACAGAGCACTGCTTTATATAGTATGTGGTCAGGGAAGGTGTCTGAGGGAGGGATGATGAAACTGAGATGTTAAGGATGTGTAGGAATCCGTCATATGAATAACCAGGAAAACAGCTCTCCAGAATCTGGTCCTTGCTTGCTCTCTCCAACTCTGGCACCCTGGCTGAGCCACCGTCTTCTCCCACTTAGGTCACTGCAACAGGTTCTCTGCGGTCTTCTTGCCTCCACCTGTCCTTCCCTACAGACCATTCTCTACACAGCAGCCCTGATGGCGAAATGGAACTCAACTCGTATTGTTCTCCTACTCAGAAGCCTCCGAGGGCTTTTTCTTTCACTCATGCAAGATCCAAAGTCCTTCTGAGAGACCCTACATGATCTAGGTCTCATCTACCTCTCTGACCCTGTCTCCTACAAGGCTGCCACTGATTCCCTTGTACCTTGAACATGCCAGGCAAGCGCCCTCCTCAAGGCCTTCACGGTCATGATTTCCTTGGCTTAGTAGTCTCTTCCTTGAAATACGTGCAAGGATGACTCTCTTATTTCAGAGAGGTATTTGCTGTCATCTGAGAGGCCTTCCCTGACCATCTAAAATAGCATTTTTCCCCCTTCCCCACACACACCTGCATTTTAACCACCGTGTGTGTGTGTTTGTGTGTGTATGTACTTATTTGCATGTTACCTATCTTTCCTTCCTAGAATACAGTCCCACAAACATGGTCTTTGTTTTTGTATCCCCAGCTCTGTAACCATACCTCATAAATATGTTGCACTCAGTAAATGTTTCACAATGACTTTGTTGTTTAACATAAGCATACAGGTCTGAGGGTAGGGAAAAGCGTGGAATTTTAAGGGACAGAGGCACTATGGCTCTACATTAACAATTGAGTGGGAGGGTGGTAGAAGAAGAGATTGAAGAGCGGTAGACAAGAGCTAAATCTGGTAGGGAGGGCAGTGTTCTCAGCCCTGAGTGCACATGAGAATCACCTGGAGAGCTTTAAAAACAGCACTCCTGGAGATACTGATTTGGTTGCGGTGGTCAGTTGATGTAGGGCCTTGTAACATGCTAAGGAGTCTGGATTTTCTCCTAAAAATAATAGAAAGCATTTTAAGCATGAAAGGTACATTTTATTTACATGTGAAAAGGATCCTTGGCTGTTACGTGCAATATAAATTAGGTGGACAGTACTATGAGCAAGAATGAGATGAAGGAAAAAAAATGAGATGAAGGAAATCAGGAAGCATGGATGATACATTGAACGAGGCAGTTGATACTGAGGGTGGAGAGCAGTAGAGGTATTTGAGAGGTATTTTGGAGGTAGAACCAGTAAGATTTACTGATGGATTGCAGATTCCGATGGTGGCATTTACTGGGATGGAGAAAATTAGGGGGGAAATGGCCATGTTAGGGTAGAATCA